CACACACATACACACACACACACACACACACACACACACTCACGCACATATTACACGCACACATGTGCGGGCTAACTGTGACAAGGAAGGTCAAAGATCGCTACCTAAATGATCTAAAGAAATCATGTTGATGGATGAGTAAAATCATCGGTGTTTAAAAGAATACTATTCTAGAGGACTTAGTAACGTTACTGTACACTTCTGAAGAAACAAATTGCAATCTTAGAAGTACAAAATTCTATCCGCTCAGTAGATCTACCTAGTTTTTGTTAAATTTGACTTCACAAATTTTGAGTTTCACACCTCAAACTTTTTCGACTGCAATTCTTAAGATATCTTGATAACGACTTAGAATTGCCTTACGACTTGATAATGATAGAGGCGATAGAACATTTGGTTTCTGGCCTCTTGGTCTAAGTAGCTCAAAAATGTCCAAAATGTCAGATAGAACAACCTTGTAATTCTAAGGTAGTGGATTGTAATTGTATTTCACACAACCATCGACACAAATTGAATCATGTAGACGGGATGTTATCTCGGCACAGCCTGAGTGGGGTAGGACATCGCAGCAAACGATATGTTGCATTTGACTTTAGAAAGCCGACCTACTCTGGAAATAGAGGTTGCGGTGGCGGAGCGGTTAGTGCGCTCGACTCCGAAACGGAAAGTCCGGGTTCGAGCCTTGGTTCGGACACGAATTTTTTTTTGCCCCATCCCACCCTCCCAGCAGTAATGGGTACATGACTTTGAGTTGAGGAAGTAAAGGCGGTGTGGAAAGGAACTGGCCACCCTACCACAATATGCCGAAGGCCCAGGAAGTTGTCTCACTAACAAGGCAATCCCCAATGTCCGGATCGGATGCGGGAACAACTTTACTCTGGAAATGAAGTCAAGTCTTCCTCGTACAACGGTGGAGAGCATAACTGCTTCACCACAGACGCTGATATAGTGAAAAGTCCTCAAGAGAAAAGTTTACGCACAAGAAATGAGAAGCACCAACGATCAAACGTTAGAATGAAGATTTACTGAATGCTTGATTAAAGAGAAGAACATCGACACAACAATAGTATTTTGATAACAAAACAGCGTGATAGACATACAGAAATAGAAGAGGGGAAGAAAACAAGTTAGTCCATTAGCTAAATCTATGTGACAACTGAAAAGTTTAGAACAGAACAGACGAAACAAACTTCTGAGCGCACGAAACGGGACCAAAAAAAAAAGAGTACAAATAGCCTTTGTTTGTAAGTGCTTCAGTTTGAAGTTGACAAGTTCTTGCCATCAACCCAACATTTATGACCAAACACTCTTTTGGTTCGAGGGTTTATCTGACACCAGTGTTTTTGTCATCCATTTTAAAAAAATAACAACAAAAGAAGTTGAATCTAAACGTGTGTTATACTTCGTTTACAAACGTTTGTCCACTGCCAAGTTATAGATTCTATACCCTGCCTTTTTTAACTTCTGAAGAGAAAGTGTTCTGTGAAAGAAAAAGGCTTAAGATATTCATCAACTATCAACCTCCCCCTCCCTCTC